ATGAACAGTAATGCAGGCAGACTTTGCCTTGCACACTCCATGCATGAATGGCACCCCAGGGAGCTGTCAGTGGTCAGGGTGTAAGCCTGCTGGGGCCCATGCTGTATTCTGCCAGCTGAGCTTGGCTGGCCTAAGTTCCAAAGAACTGGGCTACAAGGCAGAGGGTACTAGGGCCCCCTAGGAGGATAGATCTGAGCCTGTCTCCCTCCTGGACTGGACTCAGCCAGGCAGCATACATTCCCAAGTACTCACTTGTAGCACTGGGGATACTGACCTTGGAATCAGACACTCTGTGAGGCCGAGGAGTAAGGATCCCCAGCACTCTGCCCTCAGAGGGTGGCAGAGGGCCTGGCTCCTGACCCCTCAGGAGAAAACTAGCTCCCCAACCTCAAACCCAGGCCCTCTAAGCTTCAAGCAGCAAATGTCAACAAGGCAGTGCTCCTAGACCTCCTTGAGACTCAAGTTTCCTCACCTCTCAATGGATATTATGAGAGCTGCCACCTCGTGGTGAGGTTGTGAGGATGAATTGTTGCTAATTGCCATCAAGGTGACTCTGACTCACGGCGACCACACGTACAAGAGAACAAAACATTGCTCAGCCTTGCACCATCTTCACAATCATTGGTACGCTCAAGTCCATTGTTTTGGCCACTGTGTATTTTGAGTGCCTTCCAACCTAGGGGGCTCATCTTCCAGCACTATCCTGTTGTGATACACAGGATTTTTCTTTAGTTAATTTTCAGAAGTAGATCACCAGGCGTTTCTTCCTAGTCTTAGTCTGGAAGCTCCACTGAAACCTGTCCACCATGGGTAACCCTGCTGCTATTTGAAATGCCGGTGGCATAACTTCCAGCATCACAGCAACACGAAAGTCACAACAATACAACAAACTGACAGATGGGTGGTGGGTGAGTATGATATGAGAGTGATAACGTGTGCAAAGTGCCCAGCCAGCTCGCGCCTGACCACTGTCAATTCTCCACCTGGCTCACATCTGCATTGTTGGGGCTTGTAGAGACTTCTCCAACCCAGACACTGATTCCCCAGTGGGTGCAAGCCTGGAAGTCTAGAAGTTCCCCAAGGTGATTCAGGGAAGCCACGATAGTTAGCACTAGATACTTGTTTTCCCTTCGCCTTAAAGCAGGGATGCTAGTCCATTTTTGGGATTGCCTTTGGCAGTCTTGTGGGCCCCTCTCAGAATACTGCTTTTAAATGAACAAAACGAAATGCACAGGATTACAAAGGAAATCAATTATTTTGAAATACAGTTATCAAAACATGAAAAAATTGCAGTTCAAAATATATGTGCTCTTTTATTAATAAAATCAAGCAGTGGCATAATAACCATAATTTCAAAAATGTCGATGGATGTAAACAATATTTTGAGATATATTCTGAGATACTTGCAACACCTGATCTGTGCAATCTGATTTTTAAAATAAAACAGTTGCTGTCAAGTCGATTTTGACTCATGGCGACCCCATGTGTGTCAGAGCAGAACTGTTCTCCGTAGGATTTTCAATGGCTGATTTTTCAGAAGTAGATTGCCAGCCAGGCCTTTCTTCCAAGGCACCTCTGGGTGGACTAGCAGCCTAGCGCTTAGCCGTTTGCATCAGCCAGGGACTCCCAAGACTGGAGGCCATCCCTCAAATGTGAGATCAGTGGGGCCGAGAAAGGTTAAATGTGGAGACTGGGGTTAGTTAGCAAGGGATTGGGCTCAGGGTAGAGGTACAAAGCTGGGACTCAGGAACCAGATGGCGTGGCTTCTCCACTTACTAATTATGTGACTTTGAGATATTAATTTATTTGTGCCTTTGTTTCTTCATCTGTGAAATGGGGGCCATAGTCATTACCTCACAGAGCAACTAAATGTGATTTAAAAAAAAAAAAACACTCAGCACAATGTCTGCAGGAGGAGTCACCTGGGGGCACGTCTGCTGTGGTTAGCAGAGGTTTCTTCTTGAATCAGCAGAGTGACAACCACCCCAGCCCCCCTCCTTGTCTCAGGCCAGAGAGTTCTGGGTGGGTGGGGTGGGGGATGCCAGGGCCCAGAGGGGCTGGCTGCCCTTAGCCCGAGAGGAGGGTGGGGGAGGATTAATAACTGATGATCAGTCATTGCAGGTGAGGCAGTGGGTGAGGATAAACCCCAGCATCAGCAGGAACGGCCTCCTGCCAGGGAGGGAAGGTGGATGGGTCTCTGGTCAAGGGTCAAGGTGGCCCCACCACTGGGACCAATGAGTTCAAGTCCTGGGTAGGGAGAAGCGGTGGAGGCTTAGAGGAAAGAAAGTGAGCCTGGCATCAGACAGACTTGGCTTTACAGTGGGCTGTGCGCAACAGTGCAGGCTGTATACCACACAGCTCCGAGTCACCCTGTCTGTAGACAGCAAAGTGAATGCTCTGGGTTTGCCCTTGTAATGGTGTAATACAGCCACCTTGCCTGGGTTCCCAACCTGGCCCTGCCACTCCCTAGTTCTGTGACCTTGAGCAAGCCACTTATTCTTTTTTTTTTAAATTGTGTTTTAGGTGAACGTTTATAGCACGAATTAGATTCTCATTTAAAAATTCATACACAGATTGTTTTGTGACATTGGTTGAGATCCCTGCAATGTGACAGCACTCTCCCCCTTTCACTTTACACCACGAGTTCCCCATGTCCATTTGTCCAGGTTTCCTGTCCCTTCCTGCCTTCTCATCGTTGCTTTTGGGCAGGTGGTGCCCATTTGGTCTCATATACTTGATTGAACTAAGAAGCATGTTCCTCCCATATGTTATTGTTTGTTTTATAGGCCTGGCAAAAGGTGGAGTTCAGGCGTGGCTTCAGTTCTGAGTTAGCAAGGTGTCCAGGGGCCATAGTCTCGGGGGCCATCTACTCTTTCTGAGCTTATCTATAAGGGGACCACCATGCCCACCTTAATTACTGTTCCCAGAGTTCCATACATGAAAACACCAAGCCCTTAAGAGTTGCTGAGTAAGCAGCAGCTTCCTCTTCCCCCAGGTCACCCCCAGCCCCACTCCAGGGAACCCTTCCCAAGCATCAGGGTACTAAGGGTGGGGGGTGGTGAACTCAGCTGGAACCAGATGGGGAGACATTGAGGGACAGGGCAGTTGGGGTGGGGAAAGGGAGGAGGGACTCCTTCTGCCCACCTCCCCTCCAGTCCCTTTGTCCAACTGACCCCAGCACATGGCCGCTTCCTTTGGCAAACAAAGAGTGGACAGGTACCTGGGCCCTGGGGAGACTTGGATGGGGCACCCCCTCTCCTGGAGGCCTCCTTCTGGCTAATGATTTCCGGCCCTTCCTTCCTAGCCCCATGGAAAGGCTTTGCTGGGAAAGGTGGGCCCCTGGTGTCTGGGGCTGACTATCTAGGCCTCCATTCCTGCTGGAGGTCCCTTCCTAGGCCTGAATCAGGCCTCTCTGGACATGGGCTCTTCATGTGGGAAAGAGGAGTCTCTAGCACCCAAAGACTTACAAGACCATGACTCATCCCTGCACAATGCAGGGATGGGGGAGCCTTTCACTTATGCTATAAATGTGAATGGCGCCCTCTGGAGCTGTGCAATGCAGCATCCATGCCACGATTGTTAGGAAGGAGACACTCCACTGCTCCCATCCCACAACTCTTCATTTTCATTCAGAAGATATCTGCTCTGAAGCCTTCTGGGTTCTGAGCTCTGAGGATCCAGAGGCCACAAAACAGAGTCATGGAGCTCACTTCTAGTAGAGTGAATGGACACTGATTAAATAGTCTTACAAATAAAAATATTATTACAGGCTGCAATAAGAGACAGGGAGCGCCAGGGTGCCAGGTCAGGGTCCACAATGCCCAGGTTCTGTCCTTGCTCTGGCAGTCCTCATCTCATCTGAGGCCAAGTGGGGGTTGATTTCCACCTCCAGACCCTCCAGCCCCCACCAGCGTGGCTTGATTATAATGCCTAGGCACCTCAAGGTCAAACGCAAGGTGGTGAAAGCCTTGGTTTGTTTTGTTTTTATTTTAGTAAATATATAGGTAACAAGGAGCCCTGCTGGCGCAGTGGTTAAGAGTTTAGGCTGCTTGCGAGTGGACAGCCCAGTAAAACCATGAGAGTAACGAGGTACAGGAGTCCAGTGACAAGGCCCAGAAGGCAGAATGGGAGTAAGAAGCTGATGATAGGGAACACAAAGTAGAGTAAGGATATTGTTGATGTGTTGTGAGATTGTTAACCATTGTCATAGGGCAACATTTG